CATTGGTACATAAATGCTCTAGGACAATAGACAGCCTGATTAATTTTAGGTTAAAATCTGTTCATATTAATTCTCTATTTAGCATAATAATAATTATTATATAAATATAATTATTTTTTTGGTTCTAATCACATTTCAATGAAACTTGGTACATTGTGCAGACCTTTAGTTTTACACTTAAATCTGTTCATATTAGTTACCTTATTTGCATAATTAGTTTTCAGCTATTCCATCAATATCTCAAGTATAAGTAATTTTGAATTAATTTTTAATGCGTCTCCAAAACTCTCTGCACACGGGAGTTCTTTCTAAGCTTTCTTTGATCTAATGATATCTTCAGTTCTTTAATTGAAATGTGCCTTGCTAACAGCGAAGCTATCTCAGTCGAGAGGCTGCTTGTTAATAGTTATTTAGGACTACGATTACCAAATATTATCTTCTATATATCATGTCTAAGAGGTGTTGCTGTCCAGATTCAAAACAGATTAGCAAATACAACATGTATTGGTCTAAAAGAATTGATATGCAAATACTTACTGCAGTAGCAAAGCGAAAAATGTTGCGTAATCTGTTGTCCCATTTCCTTAATATATAAGGTTTTGTCATTTAGTTGCATGTAACTGTATTTCTTGTTTTCAGGTAAGGGAAGCAGGGAAGTTGCTGCAACTATTTACTTAGCAAGACATACACAGTCAAGTACATATTTAGCTGTTAGAACTTGTAATTTAGATAATCTTTCTGATGAATTAACAATTTTACAGGTATGTATTATGATTTCAGATTATATATTATTTTGGGCTGGTCAAATGTTATAACACATATCACTGTATTACAGTACAGCTTTCATATTATTGTCAGGCATTGATCACATTTTCATCACAGTTTGATCAAATACTGGTCGCACACTTACTGCTTTACCATCACACTTTTATCACATATTTGCATTACAAACCTTGGCCACCACAGTGGTGATCTTAACTTACTCTGAGAAAACACACCTAACTTTTATGATTGCCGTTGTTGTGAGATTATTTCTTTAATGAAATGATCTAATAGAAAAATTTACTATGACTAGGCCAGTCTATTATATACCTTGTTTGAATTGAAAATGAGATGATATTATGTGATGTGAGCATGACAAACATGTGAGTGATAAATACGCAATGCAAATAAGTTTGACAGACAAAAACCAAACTGTAGAAGAGGCATGCAGAGATGCACTTCTGATGGAGCATGGCTCACTTGCAGAGATGCAACTTACCCCAAAAATGATCAAATAGTGATGGGAAGGCACTAAATGTTTTCCTCAAATTTGTTAAAAAATATGTGGCCTTAATGCAAAAATAATGAAAGACGAAAGCCATCCTGTATTTCCTAGTGTAATTACTATTGTTTATAGTTACTAGGTTCTGTATAACTGACCCCATTCTATAAAGTATTTTGTTTAATTGCAGCATGAATTTCATCTTCTAAGGATAGTACAGCATGAAAATATTTTACCTTTTCATTGTGCTTTTGTTCACTGCAATGAATTGTGGGTAGTGATGCCACTCATGGCTTATGGTAAGTAAAAGCAGTAGTTACATGCACTGCTTTTGTTTACTGCAATGAATTGTGGGTAGTAATGCCACTCATGGCTTATGGTAAGTGAAAGCAGTAGGTGATTACATGCACAGAGGTTTTGCTCACCGCAATGAGTTGTGGGTAGTGATGCCACTTGTGGTAGGCGAAGCTTTTGTTCACTGCAATTAATTGTGGGCAATTAATTATTTGTGGCAAATGTTCATCTAATGTATTTCTCTGTAATACAATCTTCACCTAACCATGTCATCTTCTTATCATTATACCTTATGTATTGAAAAAAATATGTATTAAAGCACACCCTCTTTGTTTCAATTTTTGTTGCCATATTACTAGTTCTGATTGTGTGCATGTTTTACAGGCATGTCCAATAAGATTTATCTATTTACTAAGGTCAAATATGCAACCGAGTATTGGTGGAGTCAGGCACATGTTCTTGGGGAGAATATGTTTACAATATTACATCAAGTTCACAAAACCATGTGAATTGGACAATGTTGGATTATCTGATGCTTTGCGACTAGTCTGTAGCATCTTGAAAGAACAGAAATAGGCATATGTTTTCATGTATGCTAAACAAAAACTGCTGACTGGTTTTAAACCGTCAAGTGCAAATTATCTTACTTTATTTTTCAGGTTCGGCTAAGGATGTAATAGAAGCACACTTTGTTGATGGACTCGGCGAGTTAGCGATAGCGTTTATATTACGTGATGTCATCACAGCATTAGATTATATACATAGAATGGGATGTGTACATAGGTATGACAGCTACACTGATATAGTTGCCATGAGAACAAATTATTTGTACCTCATTATGCACATGACTATTTGCATTGTGATTGTTACAATTGAAACTGCTGAATGTATGTCTGTTTTCATTTCTTTATCCTATTATTGAAGTGATCCTTGCTTTTGAGAATGCAACGAATACCAGAACCCAATGTACATTCTGAGTTTTAACTCGAGACTTTATGATCTTAGAATCAAATCTGCTGAAGTCAAGAGGTTTATTCACTGAATATTACCACAGTATTAAACATCAAGATCTTATTTCAGATCACCATTATTAAAATGCACATGCAGGACTGAAAATTCACGGAGGCCATGGGCATATTTGCTTAGATGTCCCACCTGAATGCCACAATGCTCTTCAATTTATCAAATATTTCCATCCCAATCAAAATCAGTTCAAGTCATTTCATTTATAAATAATTGGCTTTGAGGACTCTCAGAATACTGATGTTCAGGCCCTGGTCATTAATTAAATCATTTTGAGAAGACAAACTGTCAGACAAATATTGAGAAAAGCTGCACTATTACTGTTTCTGTTTTATTTTACAGGAGTATAAGAGCTGGTCATATGTTGATTTCAGCCGATGGTAAATGTTACCTGTCTGGGTTCCGTAGCGCGATATCATTGGTAAAGGATGGTAAAAAACTGAAAGCTGTGCATGATTTCCCACGGAATGCAGTCAAATCTTTACCATGGTTTGCACCAGAAGTTCTTGAACAGGTGAATAAGTCATTTAAACTGCAAATTTGATTGTTTGCATGCTTTCAAATCTCTGCTAGTAGTGTACATCCACATTGGTCTGAACCACATGTTCCTTCTGAAATACTGCTTTCAAAATATTTTCTACTGAATTTTCTACTCAGTCTACTTAAACTGTTGCTCTGCAATCCCTGGGGTTGCAACATTCATGGAGCTAAAAATAAAGTGAACTGCCATTATTTGTGTTCAGGCTACACAAAGTACTAGCTAAGATAAAAGTTAATCTTAAATGTCGGTAATACTCAATTTACATTTACTCATAAGAATTGGCATGGACGAAGTACGAGCGAAGATTTAAAATATATATTTTTCCATATTGGATAGACCCAAATTCATTCACGCATGAAAGGGAACAGTGGTTAGCATTGGCTAAGGAACGCCCAATCTAGGATTACTCAGTACAGTAACTATGTTAGTTCTATGGTTATAAAACAATATCAAAGCAAATTCAGAAAGTTCAGATTGCAGGATAACAAGGAGTAGCACAGATTCTCATCATTGGTTAAGTTTTTTCTTGAGAACATTATCTCTATATGTGTTTATTGCCATGTCAGAAATGGCATACCGAAATGAATGTTATGAACTTCAAAGTTAATCTTCCCAATGAACATTGAATGCAATAGTGTTTTTGGCGCTTAGCCCAAGCCTAAGCGTTCACGCTGGATCTGGCCTAGGTTTTAAAAAACGATCTTGATTTAATCCGTACTTAGCATTTCTTATCCCGTGCAAATTTTCTTAGCACTGGCTAAGGTATTTTACCTCTTAGCCCAAGCAAAGGAGCTGTGTGTGAACACAACTATGAACTAAGGAACACCCAAATAAATCTTCAGTCATTTTAACCATGATTACACAGTACAATAACCAGGAAAGTATACATGTTACTTCTATGGTTAAAAAACAATAACAATTCAAATTAGGAAAGTGCAAATCGCAGAATTACAGGATGTAGTACAAAGTCTCATCGTTAGTCCATTTTTTTCTCAAGAATAATGTTTTTGGATGTGCTTGCATGCATTGATTGTCGCGTCAGAAATGACATACCAAAATAAAATTCAATGTTCCTTACAAATTTGTCTATCAAAAAATTAAAGTGGGTTATTGTTATGTTAACACAGTGTGTTTTTTTTCAGCATGTATTGGGATACGACTGTAAATCTGATATCTACAGTATTGGTATAACAGCATGTGAATTAGCCAATGGTAGCGTGCCATTTTCTGATATGGTACACACTAAGGTAAGTAACAGCACATTTTATTAATATTTTTTTTATAATTTCTTTTTTTCTTCTCTCTGTGGTAACAGCATAGTTGACGTATGACATCACTAAGCATTGCGTAACATGGTGAGTGGGGCGCCCTCAGAGTTAGTACCCGGTAATTGTGCAATCATGCACACTATTGTCAGTTTTGCTTTCATGCTTAGATGTCAGTGATTTACGTAATGTGATTATTTATTCATGAAGTTGTTCAATTCTGAAAAACGAGTGACAACGATTAGGCTGATTTTTTTTAAATGGTGAATAGTGACAAAAGTTGAGTTTATCATTTAAAGTTGTATTATGTGATATTATTAATTTGTAGTCTTTGAGATATCAAGTAGTACGTGCCACGTAGAAAACACAAAAAGTATGGTATACAGGTCAAAACTTTGTTGAGAATTTCTATAAATTCATGGAATTGTGCTGGAAAATTTCTTAATGACATTTCAAATGAGACCTTCCTTATTAATTAAAATTCAATATGATACATTTGCCCACCTGATTCACCCCTTAGGATTTTGTTGCAAGTGCATGCACCTATGTCAATGAAAGAGGTGTTTCTATGGTCAAAATAAGCTGTATTTTACTGATCAGTGATCTGATATACAATACTATATTTGCTGTATGGTGTTTCTATGATTGAAATAAGTCATATTTTACTGATCTGATATACAGTACATGTCTATCGTGACCTTGCTTAGTCTGACAAGTTGTCCCCTGTCATTTATGTAAGTGAAACTACAGTATTTGCAAATTAAAACAAAATCATTAATGTTATTATTTTTGCAATGGAGGTCTTGTAACTGCTAGATTATTCACCAAGATGAAAATAATTAAGTTAAAACCAGATGCAAACAAATCAAGTATTGAAGCTTTGCTAGTAAGGCCTCAAATGTAGTATGACAGTTTTATTTGCATTTCGAGTCAGATAGACTGAAACTCCGGAAATCTGTTTTTTTCTCAACTGTGAGAGTCAAATTACAATGGGATATCACTTCTTGATAAACACTAAACCTTGAAAAAAAAAAAAAATCTGTTCATTATAGTGAATGAATGATGTGGTGATATCATGGTTGATGTACAAGGACACTCAAGAAATGAGAATCACACCTTGTATCTGGATGTGTGTCTCATTTTGAGTCTCTGGATGATATACATGTATCAGATTTCAGATTTCAAACTTCTTACCTTAGAAACTTGTGTGCTCTGGTGTAAAAACATTCCAATTTCGTTGGGTTGTTATTGCAGCGTGAACAAGGGAAACCAAACAATAATTTGCATGAGCTAAAAAACAATCCAATATTTTTGCATAGAAACCAACTGATGGTGATGTAACTTGAAACTCATTCATTATCAACTGTCTTGATGTATGTGTGAAATTCAGATGAACTCATCATATTAGCCTGCATCACCGTCCTTTCTTCTTTCCTCACATAACATTTAGTTTCTTGATTAAAAAAATATAATTGTGCACATGAATTTGTGTTTAATTTAGACATGAATCACATTTGAATATTGACTCAGTTACACC